GCTGGATAATGACCCCTCGCACTTGCTACATGCATCACCTCACACAGCATTGTCCCAGGAACCTCACCCCCCTATGTCATAGATACCATGATTGCCTTCCTCTTACAGGGGGGCAGAATCGGCCTCTGAAACATGCCGTCATTTTTCCAAGTCACATGGCGAATAAATGTTGCACAGGGACATCATGCCCAGGCTAACTCCAGAGCCTGGCCGCCTCGCACTGTAGAGAAGTACAAGAGCAGCTGAAATAGGAGTGACGGAACTTCGGAGACATGCGGTATCATGTTATGGAAAGGCAGTTAGGCCCTCGCTGGTTTGGCTCAGTGGAGAGCATTGGCCTGCAGATTGAAGGGTCCTGGGTTCGATTCCAGTCAAGGGCACATGCCTGGTTTGCAGGCTCGATTCCCAGTAGGGGGCCTGCAGGAGGCAGCCGACCAATGATTCTCTTTCATCATTGAAGTTTCTATCTCTCTCTTCCTCTCTGAAATCAATAATTGTCTGTGGAAACCTACATAAACACAGGAATGAACAGAACAGCCTGCAGTTGACTCCAAATGCCAAGGCAGCGAAAGCAAAAATAAAAATAAAGGGGGACTACACCAAACTAAAAAAGCTTTTGCACAGGAAATAAAATCAGCAACATCAATAGGGAAAAAAATCTAATTAAAAAGTAGGCAGGATATCTGGTTGGTGGACACATTTCCAAAGAAGACACACACATGGCCAACAGGTTCATGAGAGGATGTTCAGCATCTCTATTCATCAGGAAATTACCATCAAAACCACAATGAGATGCCACCTCCCACCCATTAGAATAGCTACGTGAGTACATTTAGTTTTTGTAAAAACTCTAAGTGAATGCCAGTATTTGTTTGAATTACCATCAAACAAATGCAAACTGGAGGCAAATGGCTAAGTTTTAAAAGTCAGCTGACCTTACACATATTTAATATTCTTGCAAGGTGCAGGTCAGTGCAGATTTGAACTACTCTCCTTTTTCAGTAACTTATTTAAATCACATATTAGGTTCCACACATTCTAAGGAAATGCCTCAGTCCAACCTGAAGTGCTGTGAATTATTTGATAGCGAAACTCTTAATAAACGCTGTTCTGACCCAATGGTCAGGAGTTAATTGGTATTCAAATCTCCCTTACTTGCTCATCTACCAAGAAAAATAATCATCATTTTGCTCCTCCTCTTGAGTAGGGAACACAATGTTTAATGCTTATTCCAATTAATTATTCTCCACATCTTTAGTCTTTGTTTATATCCAGAGAAAATGTATTTGTCCTTTTTTTTTTCCTGCAAAAAGAATAGGACTAGAATTTGTCACTGGGATTTTATGCCAGTTAATTAAAAGTCTGCTTCATCTTCAACTTTAACCTTTTTATTTCTCTCCAGGCTTAGTTAATATCCATTATTTTGGTTGGGTAATATAGATAACACTAAAAGCATCCTAACACTAGACATAGAATTCATTTATTAAATTGAGAAATGGATGGGCATGAAGGTGAAATGGGGCTCAACATAATTCTCCTTTCTGTCCCCAAATTTGATTAATGTCCCCAGGGAAAGAACCTTGGAGCTCATTTTCCTTTGCAAGAGTCTTTCTTTGGAGTCTCCGGCCTCCTGGTAGTTGTTGCTTCAGAATCTCTCAATTTCCTTTGAGTAATGGCACATTTTAATTGGCATTTCTAGTTGTTTTTGGCAAGAGTGTTGCTTTGCTCCCAGCTGGTCCATCCCAGTGGAAGCGAAAGGTTGATTGGAAGAAATTGGGCTTAAGCTGGTTCTCCAATGGAAAGATCATTGAAGTTCATAAGCAGAAATAAGGCTGTTTTTAATGATGAATCTTCCCGCTGAGTTAATGCGGGAATATTCCAGGTAAAAAAAATCATAGTGATTGGGACAGTGTTTTACAAACAGATCTTTAACCTTAATGAGGAACACGACTTGGGTCACTGAATGATTTTTTAATGTAGTTTGGGTAGTTTATATCAATAGTGACTAATTTGGAGTCCCACTTTCTAAATTCTCCTTTTTAGGTTTTCTTAATTTTAGGTTTGTTGCCTGCCAAATTGAGGAAATTCAGTCCAAGAGAATGCATCATGTTTTAATGTTGCCTTGCTTAAGTAGTATGAATTCTGAAGACTTAATAAGCGACTTTTTTGCTGTGCGTTCTCATATTTTGTTCCCCTTCACGTGTATTTATACTCAGAAAAATACTCTCTTATTGCTCCTGAATTTTGAGTTTCCAGCATTTGTCCCATATTCAGATGAAGTATCCCTTTGAATATACTCTAAGGAAATTACTTTAGCAATAATGCGGCATCTTCCTTGTTTTCTCTAAATCTTCTATCCTGCGGGAAAAGAAAATAGCATGTATTGAAATGAGTCTTCTGTGTTTTTTGGAAAACCTCAGATTTCCATCCATTCTTACCGGTGATCATCCGTTTTATAGCTTCATCTGTCCGTATCCTCACGGTTAAGATCGCACACCCTGGAGTCCTCCTGCGTGTGTGCAGAACATCATTTTGACAGTTATAACCTGGGGCAAATCATGGAGCTTTTGCTTGCCTCTCACCTCTTCCACGTGATGGGAGAAACTAAGGGTATCTAGTACGTGGGTCATTATGAAGATTGTCTGACACATGATCTGAACATAAGTAAAATGTCTTAAGCGGTCAGAGCCTCCGATGCATTTTTAAGATCTGTCCCCAAGGTAAAGTGGTGACCTTCAAGCTGCAAGGGTATAAACCTCTGACTCCAAGTGCCCAGAACTCTTGTGCATACGTCCTCCTCCTGCATTTCCTTTCCCTTGACGCAGGCATGGCAACGGCTCCTATGGTTACTCATGGAAACATCTTTGCTTGTTTGTTTTTTGCTCCTTCAGCCATTCAGTAATTGTGTAATGAATCATCTGTAGCATAATTATCTCTCTTTCAAATAACTAGCACTGTTGTTTTTTCTTTCAGATTGGACCTTGATAGATACATGTGTGGCTCTCTTGTTAAGCTATCTCTTATTTCCATAGCTTGAGTCATGTGATTCAAATATACTTTTCAAATTGTTCAGTTCTTGCGACTCTTTTTCATGGATTAATCTGCACCTTAACCCATGTCTTACAAGTGTGCTCATAATTGTCTGAGAGTCTGGAGGAGACATTAAATGTAGATGCCCTGAGTCAGCAACTATCCCCGATCCCAGGTTTTATGACCCAGTCTCACTGGGATTAGTATGCTAAGAGATTCCTCTAATGGGCTCTTTTCTGCATACACACAGTTTTTATTACATTTCTGTGTCAGACTTGAAAACCGCCTTGAAACGCCATCATTTTCATACGTCAACACTTTGATCGATCCGTCTGTAAAATATATATTTCATGGGAAATTTGCATTGTTACCCTAGAAGATACTCATTCTATTAGTGCGCTCACACCATATGGAGCACAATCAGAAACCACTTTGTATGAAATCATTGACTCAGAAATCGCATCTGCTGGCTTAAAATGGAATATAATGTAAAATATACATCTGTTTATGCTGGGGATGTGACCAGAAGTTTCTAATTAAGAATCGATACTGCATATATAAAGCTCATGCAACAAAACCATCTAGAGTATTGTCAGTTACTCAAATTGGGAGGAAGTGTGCTTATTTTTATCACATAGGTTAAGTGCATTAGCTGTGGACTAAACTACATTCTGAAATATCTGGATGAGTTTCCCAGTATCTACAGGCCGATGTCTTTGTGTTTCTGAAATAATGACATTCAATAGAGTTTAAGGCATGTGAGCTGCAATTTTCTCAGACTTGCAGCCAAAGCTATCTCACTGATAACTGATCGGTGAAATCCTTTAGAAGAATATTAATTATTGGTAGTAACAGCAGCCATGCTTGTCAGTTTAATTCAATCTTGAAAAGAATTGTTAATCAGAAGTGGATGTGAACATTTATCAATTGTGTTTTTTAAAATATGTTTTTATTGATTTCAGAGAGAGGAAGGGAGGGGGAGAGAGAGACAGAAACATCAATGATGAGAAAGAATCATTGATTGGCTGCCTCCTGCACGCTCCCTACTGGGGATTAAGCCCACAACCCAGGGATGTGCCCTGACCGGGAACTGAACCGTGACCTCCTGATTCATGGGTTGACACTCAAACACTGAGCCACATCTGCCAGGCAGTGTTTTTATTTCTATTACATGATAAAATAGTTTTTAGTTACTAATCCATTGTATTATTTTAAGTAATATCACAAAGTTGAATTATATTCCTGTGGTAAACCTACTTGTTTATGATTACTAAGATTATTTTAATATACTTCCTGGACCAATTTAATGTATTAGTTAATAGTCCTTATCTGCATGCATAAGATTGGATAAGAGTTACTTTTTGATGCTATTCATTCCTCCTCAAGTAAAATGCACCAGAAAGTTTTATTTAAAAAAATATCAAATGCCAAATAATTATCTATCTTTCAATAGTATGATTATTAGGAAAGTTAATATAGAAAAATATATTTGCACAAGTACCAAAATTCAGTGTATATTTTTGTACAGTGATGTAGGGATAAAACCTCAAGATTATGAAAATGTAATTGAATGTCATAATTAACTTCAGATGTTTTAGGCATAGCATATATATGTTTATATACATATATATAGTGAAATGTATATTTTATATATGTATAGTTTGATGCTTCTGACAAGTTTACCCAATCACCTAACCACCAGCCAAATCAATATATCGACAAGTTCCATCATCTCACAAGACTGCCTTACTGGCTTCATCGTCAGTTCATTCAGCACTTGCCTTAGGCAAACATTGATTTCTCTCTCAGACATCGATTTCTTTCTCTTTAGAGATTACTAGTGGCCCAGTGCACAGATTCGTGAACATTGAAAGGAAATTAAGAAGAAGAAATATTTTAATATCGCTTCACCTTTTCTCTATAATAGAAGTGTCATCCAAATTCACGATTGACAATGACAGATGGAAACACACACGTGCGATTGGCGCCAGCGAGAGCTTTATATGTATCGTGCATGCGTGAGTCAACTTAGCCTTTTATAGATACAGAATAAACTTGCTTAATTAGAAATGCTCTCTGATTTAGCTAAACCTTTTCCAGACCAGTGAAGCACCCCAACTTCTCTTTCAGGTAATTGTCAGCAACACAGCAGTAACTATCAATGCTAAGCAGATTATTATTGTAGATCACACAGGGAGAACAAAGGGTAAAATATTTAACTGCAGCCGTGTTTGACTATAACCTGCGCAGTGAGAAAACCTGAAGTCATTTTCAAGGTCCACCATTTCTTACTTCTTTTCAGTCGGGTCAAGTTTCTAAGCTTTCTAAATCTCCGTTTTTGGGTTAATGAAAAGAAAATAGGATTCCATCGAGTCTCCTATCTTTCTACTCCAGGACTTCTGTGAGGATCAAATGAGATGAGGCACAGGAAAACGCTTCACAGACATTAGGTTAAAGTATAAAATGTTTCCATCTGGGTATAAAGCAAGCCGTGTTCCTGGGCTGAAGAAATGGCAAGGAGGCTGGTTGCTAGAGAGAGGAAGCCGTGCGTTGCTATGTGATGTCATTACCCAGACGGACATTTAGCATATTAGCCTTTTCTATATATAGATAGATTTTTGCCTCTTCAAAATCTTCATGTAAGTTTAAAAAAAATACACCATATATACTCTTTTCTGTGTGACTTCATTCCTTCAGCATCATGCTTTTAAATTTTCCCCTGCTGTGTCATATATCTGGGGTGAGCTCCATTGTACTGCCAAGAACCATGGCCTTATGTGCAGGTACCTCAACTTGCTTACCCATCCATCTGCTGAGAGCTGTGTGGATTGTTTCCAGGTTTTTCTCCTACGAATGGCATTTCAAGAAACATGTATACAATAGTGTCTCTAGATTTGTAGTTTCATTTTCTTGGGTTAATACCTAGGAGTGGAATTGTTGGGTCACGGGGTATGCCAGTTATCAGTGTTAGAGATCTGAAAAAATCATATTCTCAAACAAGCACTAAAAAAAAGGAAAAATTAGAGAAAAAAGACTGCGACCTATAAAATGATTCCCTTTCCCTGTTGCCGTGAGGGTGAACGTCCAGGGCTGTCAGCTTTCATTGCTCTTCCCGCACACATGTCCGTTCTCACCACACTTCTGAAAATCTTGACAAAACACATTTTTAAAAATCTTCCTGCCACAATGTATCATAAACTGTAAAACATCTAAAAATGTCCATTTTCACAAACGGGAAGCATCAGGATGAAAGCGTTGGGCCGCAGCATTGGTAAATATTTGATGCTATTTTCTACGAATGTTACAGTTATGGTCAGTGCAACTGCTAAGTGTTCCGATCCAATAAGACATCACGTAGCCAAGTGGGCTCCGTGGGGAGGGAAAAGCATTCAGGTCCCATTCAAGGAAGTTTGCGGACGTTCACAAAACCTTTAGAAACGCAGCCTTCACTCCCCAGTCACATATTTCCTTCCTGCCTCCTTCGCATGATTTCTGCCTCAACAATTCCAGGACTTACTGATTCACGCTCTCCCCTCACCCCTTAACCTGTTTGTTTACAGTTGGTGCTGCTGAACACTTTAAAATATTTATCTCTTGTGTTACTCCCTGCTATACTACATCTTGTTGGTATTTCTCCTTTCTGATTCCATTAAATGAAAAATAAATGCAGAAAAAAGTGGGTCTTCTAATTAGACGTTATTTCAAATAAATGAAAAGCTCTTGAACTGAAGCAATACTTTCAACAATAGAGATACATTTTTAAAAACTGCTTGATGTTAAAACTATTAGGAGGTAAACACAGGGGTGGGGAACCTTTTTTTCTGCCAAGGGCCATTTGGATATTTATAACATCATTCACGGGCCAAACAAAATTATCAACTTAAACACTTGCCTGCTCTATTTGGTCAAACATTTAATGAACTCACCCCTAATGCCTTGGCAGGGCCAGACCAAATGATTTCATGGCCTTATATGGCCCTCGAGCCAGACTTTCCCCACCCCTGAGATAAAGTATGTGATAATGCAGTCCTTTTGTTTTGAAATAATTTTTACTTTAAATAAGTGCACACATTCGATCGGTGCTAAAACACACATTGCCTTTGTTGAATTTTCTTAGAGAAAGTTCAGGTTATGTGGAAGATAAAGTGTTAGCGGCCAGTTAGTACAATTATACTTCAGAGGTTGACCTTTGTGATGTCTGCTTAAGGAATACGATGTCATTTTACTCAGGAAAGAAATCATAAATCATTCTTTTTAAATATCTTCTGAGGCTTCAATCTATATTATCAACATTTGGGCTTTATCTCCTTTGGTCCTATGTGTTGGGTGTACACACAGACTAGAATACTAAAACATATGTGATCCTCTACATTCTAATGTAGAGACTATTCCTGCCCTTAACTTGCATGACACAAGGAGTGTCAGAGATCGTTAATTAGATCTCCTATGAGTTGCTTTTTCAGGTGCTTCCCTAGTAACTTGTACAGGGCTGTTGAGGAAGCTGCTAGAAGATCCGGATTGCCTGAGGCAAGTGTAAGAAACCCCACCACCAGGAGAACAGGCGTTTTTAGAGGGGGGAAAAGGTCTCTATTTCATAAACTTTTATATACCTGACATTTGCTTAGGAGGAGAGATGTAGATCAATATCATTAGGATACTTCTGTGCATGAGGGAAAGACCGTAAACTCCCATCTTTGCAAACACAGCACAATGCCTTTCAGGTGTGGATGGGGCTCAGTCTATAAACTGAACATGGAAATGAATAGGTATGTTCCCTCCTTGACAAAAGAGGCTAATGGAACCACCCAGCTCAAACTTCTCACATGAAATTGAAATTACACCCCTAAATCGTCCAGATGGTGGAAGCGAGGCATACCTCTCCCACGTTAAGACACTGCAAAAATATTGGCGGAAGCAAAGATTTAAACGGTGTCACTGGAAGCATCGGCTCTCACACTAAAGAAGACAGTGGATGGGGAAATGATGGTTGAGATTCAGAATAAATCACATGGCACCACAGTAATTCGGTAGCACTTAGGTCTCCCTCACCACCCTGCAGCTGGCGTCCCATAAAGTTGTATTTTAAGGGAATTGTTGTTCGTCACAGGTTTAACAGTTTAGTGTTTAGACTTTGAAGTTACAAAGAAATATTAAGAAAAAAGTTCACACACAAAAAAGGAAAGATTCAGAGAGGTAAATGCACTTTTTAAAAAATATTTTTTTTTATTGATTTCGGAGAGGAAGGGAGAGGGAGAGAGAGAGAGATAAAAATATCAATGATGAGAGAGAATCATTGATGGGCTGCCTCCTGCATGCCCCCTACTGAGGATTGAGCCTGCAACCCAGGCATGTGCCCTGACTGGGAATCAAACCATGACCTTCTGGTTTATAGGTCGATGCTCAACCCCTGAGCCAGACCCGCCAGGCAAGGTAAATAGACTTTTAAGTTTTAGAGAGGACTGATACTATGTGAACCGATTCTTCAAAAGGAAACAAAACACTAAACAGAGCTTGGAGAACATGATTGATTGATTGTTTTTTTTGCTAGGAAAAACTAAGAATTGTGTGAAACAAAAATTGGTGATCAGAGCTTTTTTGCTTTCAATGATCGTGGACTTTTCTTTTGATGATAATGATTTTTTTTTTTGACTCTGAGAAGGGAAAATGAAACTAACCATGATGTTGACGATTCCTTCCTCTGCACATGGATGTTTCTGGTTAATAGTCTCCTCCCTCTAGCCTACCAGTCTTTTCTGCCCGTCAATAGCAGGTAGTCTCGAAACTTCATGGAAAGAGAAGTTAGCCTATCACCTACCCTCTGTCTAAATGCTATACACTTAGCTCTGTCTTATAAATATGTATCGTTTAACCTTATAGGAAACTGTAGGTTAGGTGTTTTACAGTTTAAAAACGGCTGAGCTTTTAAAAAATATTTATTGTTGAGATTATTACAGATGTGCCTCTTTTTTCCTCCCATTGACTTCCTCTACCCATCAAGTTCTTCGGTTAATCTCTTTCCATCTCCCCTCCTTCCCTCTGAGATTCATCAGTCTTTTCCACGTTTCCATGTCTCTGGTTCAATTGTATTCATTAGTTTACTGTGTTCATTAGATTCTACATAGAAGTGAGATCATGTGATACTTGTCTTTCTCTGACTCTCTCAGAATAAAATTTTAAGCAGAATTTCTGTATGATTTTAAGATTATCTGCACACATGGGGCATTGTTCTGAAGAATAGCATGTAAGAAATTCTTGTTTTAAAGCATATTTTACATCTGAGAATAAGTCGTGTGTCAATACAAAGAGGAGCAGTGCCTATCAGAACATATCTTAGACATAAAAAGTCAGTCGCTGATAATTCCTTAGGCGCAGAGCTCCGGTGAGATGGGGCCACCCATGGTTCACCGCCTGTGGGGCCATAAGGCTCCTTCCGAACAGGCGAGGAGGAGAGTACTTAGCACTTCTGGAGATGAAAGCACAGAGACTGTAATCATTCTGAAAATCACTCCATCAAAGTGTCACGCTGTTCATTACAGTTCAAAGAATTAGCATCTGGTTGAAGTTATAGGGGTAGCTTTGAGGAATTGGTATCACAGGAAATGCATTTAAAGCATCTTTAATCACATCATGAAAAGGTCTCAGCCCGGCCCTGGGGACCTTGTACCCAGCACACCCAGTAAACACGCCTGGCGTTGACTAAATGTGTCAGAGTATAAACATCACCGTGTACTGTCGTTCCTTCGGTGGGACAGGAAGACAGTGGCAGTTAGCATTGTAGACATTATGGTCCTTAAAGGACAGTAAAATTGTGGAACCTTGAATGAAGTTTTAAGTTCCAGTGACATTGAAGGTGTTACTGTTACGAGAGTTTGGTCTGATCTATAATCAATATGTTAAATGTGATACGAAATTAACCAAGGGACATTAAATGACATTAATTTTTTATAGACTGAGCCAGAAGTGTTTATGAGAAGACTTTGCGTAAACCATTTCATTCAGGCTAATCCATTAGAAAGGAGGCATTTCATGGTTTATATATAATTTCAGAGAGGAAGGGAGAGAGGAAGGGAAAGAGAGATAGAAACATCAGTGATGAGCGGGAATCATTGATCAGCTGCCTCCTGCACGCCCCCACTGGGGATCAAGCCCAAAACC